TGGTCGGCAGCCCGGGGAGACGCAGAGAAACCCCCAGAGTACACGGGCGGCAGGACCACGAGGTCCTGCCGTCCGTGTACTCTGGGGCAGCCCCGTTCATAACTGCGGATCCGACATAAGTCGGATCCGCGTAAGTCGGGGACTGCCTGTATTTCCAAAATGGTGTGGCATGGAAGACTGGGGTTCAGCAAAGATGAAAGTGATACTTCAAGTAGGAGTTTCTTTCAGTAGCAATTTCTTATTTCTGGAAATCAGAAACTGCCTCCAGGAGCACAATCCTATAGGGAGCTGTTTTTGACACAGAAATGTTGGGAACTGCTGCATGTAGGATTGTGCTGCCCTAGCAGCCATTTCCTACAGTAGCGCTTCTTTATGATCGTATCAATAAGAAAGTGCTACCTGTAGCACATTCCTATAAAGTAGAAGCTTTTGTCATTACACTGCCTTTTCCTGCTGCCTCCCTTGTGTGACTTGTCCAATGAGGATGAGAGGCAGGAATGGGGCAGAGGAGGAATGCCAAGCTGAGGGAGGCAGGGAAGAAGCTCAGCACCTCAGTGGGGTGAGCAGAGCCCCCCCCCCTTTGTTCTGCCAAAGCCTGTGGGGTAGAAAGGGATTCTGGGTGGAAGGAAAACAAGCAAAGCTGGATTCAAGTGTACATGTGCTAGGGGTCCATTGTGGCCCAGCTAAGTGAGGGGTGCTGGGTTTGATGAAACATCCAACTGTAGGCCTCACAGTGTAAGGGTTGGTACTCAGGGCTCTGAAACCTGCAAGGTGTGTTTAAATCTCAGTGGGATCTGCTGGGACATGGCTGGTTGCTGCAAAACCCTCCCACCTCATATGCTTTGGCTTCCTTGTGCCCCCCTGCTGGATGTCTGACACCCCCTAGAGCTCAATCTCTGGTTCAGCGGGTGGCTGGGATGTTTCTTTCTGCTTCCCCTGATGCCCTCATGTCTTGTCCCAGAAGCTGCCAGGCTATGCTTCTTGCCTCCCTGGGGGACACAGGTAAGATCATCAGGCCAGGCTGAACAGCAGGAGCCCTATCCTAGGAGGGAGGAGACGACCACTGTGTGTGATGGTGTCACCCAGACAGGCAGCCTCAGGCTAGGAGGACAGAGCTGACCGACATCTCTAGCGCTCCTGAGGCCGAGGGGATCCCAGCACAGATACAAGAGCAGCAGCCTTGGCCAATGGTCCCAGGTTTGCAGGGGCTGTCCCTGGCTCCCCGCTCAGACTGGCCAGGGGGGCACATTGGTGCTAATAACATGCTCAAATGGTGCCATGTTCCAGCCAGGCCAACAGGGAGTGTTTCTTGTGGAGTCACCTGATGCCCACAGGTGTGGCCCTTGCACCCATCCCCCTGCTTTTCCCCTGACCCCTGTGGAGCTGATAAGAAAGAGGCCCAGGCCCAGGCCTAGGCCCAGGCTAGAGCCAGGGGAAAGCAGGAGGAGACCCAGGCTGTAGCTCAGCTCCCCTTTCCTCCCCTGGGCACCTTGAGCAGGGGTGGCTGGTGCTGACCGCTCCAAGGGAAGCCTCAAAAGCCACAGAGCAACCAAGGCAGAGCAAGAGGGGGGCAGGGCCAGGCCTACATGTGGCTGCAGAGCGACAGAGACCCCCCCCTCCCACCCACAGGGCTGCTCCCCCCCCTCTGGCTGCCAAACGCTGAGCCAAGGCCCCACCGACCAGCATGTGGGTGGCTGCTGATGCACTGCCTCCTGCCCTCAGTGCAGGGAGAGTCCTGGACCGTGCCAGTTCCAACTGCTGAGGCAGTGCGCACTGCCATGGGGAGCAGAGGAGCAAAGCATGCACTGCATGAGTGTTTGGGGCTGGTGTGATCCAGGACCCCGTCTCCCTCTCCGCCCATGCGGGAGTTCTTCAGGGGAATGAAGTTGGCAGCACATGTCTTGTTACTTCACTCCTCACGACAGTGTGCCCTGCCCAAGCAGACCCCTTCTCCCTCTCCGCCCATGCGGGAGTTCTTCAGGGGAATGAAGTTGGCAGCACATGTCTTGTTACTTCACTCCTCACGACAGTGTGCCCTGCCCAAGCAGCTGGAGCCAATGCTCTGGGGACTTTATTCCCCCACTATCTTCCGAGGAGGAGGGAAGGGGAGTCCCAGACCGCACCAGCCCCAAACACTCATGCAGTGCATGCTTTGCTCCTCTGCTTCCCATAGCAGAGCGTGCCATAGGAGCAGCTGGAGCCAGCATGGTCCCTGATCCCCATTCCCTTCCCTGCGCGCAGGAAGGCAGCAGAGGAACAAAGTCCTCAGTGCGCAATGGACTGGCATTTTAGGTACTGCGCCGACTGTTGAGGGGAGGGGAGGCAGAGCTACCCGCATACTTCCGGGACGTGGCACGCAGCTGCAGAACTCCCCCACACGCACACCCCACAAGAAGCCCACACTACCTCCATTGTCCCTGGAGGTAATATCAGCATGGCATTCATCTTGGGTCCAGCGCCAGTGAGTACAGGGGAGCCAGGGGCCATGGGGGAGCACAGGAGCAGCTTCGTGCGCTGTGCTTTTGGGGGGAAAGAGCCATATGCAGCTCATGAGCCATGGGTTGTCCACCCCTGCCCTACTCCTGTCCTGCTTCTTCACCCCAGTTCCCTCCCAGATCCTTGGGGGCAAGAACAGAAAGCAAACAGAACATCAGAACAGCCAGACTGGGCCATGCCATTTAGCCCAGGATTCTGTCTCTTGAAAGCAGCCAATTCCATGGCCCCAGAGGGTATCATCAGAACAGACAATTCTCAAGTGTAGCTACCAGCACCTTTTACATATGGGAAGGGCTTGAGGAGATTATTTCTTATTGGTTTGCACTTCACAAACCCTGCACTTTAGCCATGGAGCTGGGGGCCACAGAGAAGCACACACAGACCTGGTCCTTCTGTCTCCCTTTTCAGGCCTTGGGGAGGGCTTTGTGTCAGGCTTATGGCTGAGTGGTTAAGTTGTTGTACCAGAAATCTGTTGGATTTCCCTGTACAGGCTCAAACCCTGCTCGCAGCCAGGCCTGTGTTTTGGCCACAGCAGGTGGGTACTTGGCTCTGTGGCCCAGGCTGCAGGAGTTTGAGGTTCCCCCTTGTTTGTTGATTGCCAAGGGACCTGCCAGGCCCAGGGGAGGTGAGTGATGAGGCACCAAGTGGTGTTGGGCTGAATGTGGCTGCTCTTCACACACTCTGGTCAGTCTCTGGGGGAAGCTGCCTGGGCCTGGCCATGCGAATGTTTGGAAAGGAGACTGGCTGCTGCTTCTGACAGGTGCCATGTGGAGAAACATGAGAAATCTGGAGACAAGGCAAAGGAGACGTAATTGCAGCCACGATGCAGAGCACTGAGCGCTGTCCCCCACACAGAGCAGGAGGACTTTCCCAAAGGCTTTTTCCTCTCACAGGGTCCTGTCTACATCCAGAGTGCATGAGAACAGGGTCCCTGCAGGCCCCGGAGAGCTCTGTTTGGCATTTTTCTGTCTCTGGTCAGTTAGCACCTGCAGGAGGAGTTCAAAGGCTGCACTGAGAGGCCTTCCCAGGACAGGAACCATGGAGCCAAGAGTCTTTCTGGGTAGGAACTGAGAGAGGGTTTCATAGCTCCTGGGAGGAGGTTGACACAGTAGAACAGGCTCTTGACTTTGGCTACCTCCTGCCCTTGCTTCTCTCTTGTTAATTTTGTGCCCTCAGGAAGGGACCAAACCAAAGTTGAGCTGGGCCCCCATATGGTGATGCCAACCCAAACCCTGAGACCAGATAATCAAAAAGAGTGTCAAGGAGGGCACCATGGGTCAGCTGGCTAAAGCACCTGCCTTATAAGCAGGAGAGCTTGGGTTCAACTCCCAGTGGTGCCTTATTGCAGCCTTTTCTTACATTTTCCTATATCCTTCTGGGACACAGAAGAGGCCTTCCCTGGCCACCCATGGAACTGCTGGTTCAGGAAAAGGCTGATGGGAGAAGAGGGAGGCTCCTAAGAGATGAAGCTGCTGAAGGGAGGCAAGGAGAGTAGAGTATCAGCTACTAGCTGAGAACCTCACAGTCTGAGTGGTGTGATGGTCCCATGGTGTCAGGCTGTCACGTTACTGGATTTTGAGGGGAGCAGCCAGATCACTGATGCACCCATAAGTGGGGGTGTTGGCCCAAAAAATGGTATAAAAGGGGGCCATGTGGGGTGTTGAATAGAAGCTCACTGTCTGCTAATCCTATGTACGCTAGTCATGTGATTGTATGTCTGTGTGTGTAGTTAGGAGCCTGTAATCTGTGTAGATACTGAATATTTCTCTGCATGTGGTTGAGCACTGGGCAGAGCCCGGCCTATGGACATGCTAATCAGCGAGGCCCTGTGGGACAATAGCATTCAATGGGCCAAGGACACACCTAAAGAATGAGTGGTGACTCATACCTAAGGGCTACCAGCAGGGGACACAGGAAGAAGCCGTGGGCCAGGTGACCTGCTGTAGCCAAGAAGAGACCAGGAAGGAGGGATAAATAGGCCATGCAGTGGACTCCATCTTGGTCTTCAGCTCAGCACTTCATCCCAGAGGCAGCAATGCAGGGATTGAAGAGCCAGAAAGACCTGTGGACCCATCCTGATCCTAGGATGCGCAACAAGGACTTTTAAACCAGCAGCTGTAACATCTCTGCTAGAGCCTGCATCGAGTACTGGGAGATTCGATGCATGTAATGTACTATTCTTTAACAACCTTACTCTCATGCTTTTCTTTATTGTAGTAATAAACCTTTAGATGTTAGATGCTAAAGGATTGGCCCAGTGTGATTTGTGGGTAAGGTCCAAAGGGTAAATTGACCAAGGATCTGTGGCTGGTTTCTTGGGACCTGACAAAACTTGTTCGGGGTAGGTGGGATTGGGTGCTAGGACCCCCCACCTGTGTATGAGGCCTGGAGCCATCTGGGGCACAGATATTGCTGGGGTGTCGAAGGGGTTTTGCTCGTGAGGCTTCAGGCAGGCAGCTGAAGTGCTCTGTGGGATTGGTTTGTGGCCTGTTTGGAGAGGTCACCAGGGGGCTGTAAGGAGCCCCGAAGTTGAGCAATTCACCCTGAGCAGATGCCCTCAGCAGTGCCCAGACCGGCCCTGACCGTCACAGGCACAACACTCAGGACTCTGAACCCTGCAATCTGAGCTCAGATCTCAATGGGACCTTCTGGTGAAATACTGGCAGTACAAGTGCTTGGCTTCTTTGTCCTTAAATGCCCAGAGCGAGGGTGTGACTGATTTTGGAAATAAAAGGCAAAGGAGCTTTTCTTCATCCTTGTTACAAACTTTTCAAATTTTGTAAAATATTTTTCTGTGTCTCCCCATTTCAAGTGGAGATTCTGAAACTCAGAGAGGGGGTGAAAGAAGGGACCCCACCCAGCCCAACCAGCGGGCCCTGAGCAGAGGGTGAGAAAAGTGAGCTGTAGCATAGTGTGATGGAGGTATGTCTCTGTGCCACCGCTCACCTTTGTCATTGTCTGGCTGGGAGAAACAAACTGGGCTGAATTGGAAATACACAGTCAGAATTGGCTCCCTCTGGGGAAGCGGAGGAGAAAGGGGGGAGGCAGAGGACAGACACAGGGCAGCAGAAAAGAACAATCATGAATGTCAGTGAGAGGCAGAGGTGGCAAAGGGGCGGCAGCATTTTCTCCCACAACACTTCTGGAAAGGGGCAGCCCCAGGAGGCAGCTGGACTCTTCTTTGCTTCTCCCCACTTTTCACTTGCTTGTGTGTAGGAGCAGGCAGGTGCAAGCAGACCTGCCTGTTGGCAGAGACTCATAGCTCCTGGTGTCCAGCCCTGTCTTTCGACCCTTTCCTTGGTCCCATTGGGCCACATACAAGGAGCTGTCAGTTCTGTAAAAGCTGCTCCAGGAGTAGGCAGCTAAAGTGAGTTTGAACTCATAATCTTTGAATGACTGGTCTGGTTAATACACAAATTATCTTATTTCAAATCTATTTAGAAGTAGCTTATTTATCTCTGCCAGCTGAGTCAGAGGTGCCCAGAGAAAGCCCTGATATAATGGGCCCCATTCAGGGTTTTGAATCCTGCAATCTGAGTTCAGATCTCAGTGGGACCTGCTGGTGAGATGTTGGTTTGTGTCAAATCCTTGGCAATTGATGCTTTTGCCTTTTTGCCCCTCTGGCTCAATTCCACTTTCTGGCGCTTGGCTTTCTCAATCTAAGTACATTGGCTAAAACTCCTAAATAACTGCTCCAGTAGCACAATGCGTCAGCACACAGTACTTATATGGCAGTATCAATGGGAGATATGCTGAGGTTATGAGTTCCAGGGTCACCTGGAGCAGTGGTTTTCAGTCCCTACAGGGCTTTCCCTTTGCAGTGAGCCCTGTAAGAGCCGGGATTCCAGCCCAGATGAGGAGTGCAGTGAAAATTCCCCCTTCACTTAATATTGCCTCATCAGATAGATCCAGGGCTGGAACTCAAGGGTTGTTCAGACACATACAGGAGATTCTAATTAGAACAGCTGGGCAGGTACTAACATTAGGTCATATCACAGACAGGCTGTATTTAGGACGGCCACCTCAGATGTCACCCTCAGAAGGGCAGGTGGCGCCTTCATGGGTCCCTATCATTCACAGCCAGCCCCTTCCCCATGACCATAAAATGAGGTATACAGGGTCCTTTGAAAGTGTAGAAAGGGCCAAATACAGGAAAAGCCTCTTTCAGGAAGAAGAAAAAAAAAAGCAGGGAGGAAGTATGTAAATGCAGAGCACTATTTGCATACCTCTTCTGAAACAAAAAAAGCAGTGTAGCCCTACCTTTGGGTAGCCCCTTCCTAAAGCAAAGCTTTTCCCCCTTCCCCAACCTCCTTTTTGGTTCAGAGTTGAGAAAACAAACAGAAGGAATCCACAAAGAGCAATGGACAAAGCCTGCATAACTAGGCACATAAGCTTAAGGACACAATAATAAATCAATAGCGGTTAATCAAAAGAAATTGGAAAGTACTTTTATTATCAAAACAAAACTACTGTTGCAAGAATAGTAAATTACTAGGTATTAGATAGACATGAAGTGACATAGACTCAGGAAAAAATGCTTAGTACCAAGAAATAAAAATAATTCACCAGCTCAGACATGATTTCTAAATCCTTTAAACAAGGTAAATAATAAAACCTGATGGATTAGCTAAACTTTTCCTTCCTTACACTTTTCAAAAAGTCCATTACTAAAACAGCCCAGACTGTGTGGCTTAAAGGATAAGGCATCTGATTTTGGGTCAGAAGATAGACAGGTCAAGTTCCTTTACAGTTGTGTTGGCTTTGCTTTGTCTGGGCCCTGCTGTCTTTTGACTGGAAAGCTCCTATATAACAATATGCTTTCTCTGTAGTCATATGGGAAGGCCTGTATCCATATTGGTAAGCTGGAGTCACATGCTCACATTTCATCTAAATTGCTTTAAAATAGTGTCACACTGTTAGGATATGCAGGAAATAGATCCAGACGAACAGTTGGTTCATGTGTCTAATGGATAGATTCTGCTAATTGGTTATCTGCTGTAACATAAGAAACCAAAGGACCCCCCCCCCCCCAAAAAAAAACCCACCTGCTTACCACCAGTTGTGGTTGTGGAATCCTAATTCAATGATTATTATCCTCATTTTCCTATTATTTGTCTGTGGGATCTCTGTCTAGGTTGTAAGGATACGTCTACACTTGCACCCTCTTTCAATAGAGGGATGCAAATGCAGACATTCAAAATTCTAAACAATATAAAATGAGTTTTAACAGTTATTTTGGAAGAAGGGTTTTCTTTAGAAATAACTGCATCTACACAGCGTTTTTATTTTGAAATAGCCCTATTTCAAAATAGCGCCATAACGTGATTATGCAAATGAAGCATGGGATATTTAAATTCTGGCTTCGTTTAGAATTTTGAATGTCTGCATTTGCATCCCTCTATTGAAAGAGGGTGCAAGTGTAAACATACCCTAACTGTTTCTGTCTCCTGTATGATTAATTTTGCTAGGTGTTAATCAACCAAGATGATAGGGTATGATTGGTTAGGTAATTCTGTTACAATATGTTATGATTAGTTAGTAAAATTATACTAAAATAATTGGTTAAGGTAAAACAAAATACAGGACTATGTAGCACTTTAAAGACTAACAAGATGGTTTATTAGATGATGAGCTTTCATGGGCCAGACCCACTTCCAGGTAAGCGGGACTCAAGTTTTGCTATAAAAACTGGGGTCCAAGAAGGAGACCAGCAAGAAGGAGGAAAGGGGGAAAAGAGAAGAGGAGGAAGAAGGAAAAGAGAAAGGAAGACCAACAAGAAGGGGGGAAGACCTGGAAGAACTCACCTCCAAGACACAGCCTAAGACCAGAGCTGCCAGGATTCATCTGCACGACCGTGACATGCAGCAGCTAAGATCTAGAGAGTCTGACCTTGCCTGTCCAACAGGGGAAGTTAACCTGCCTGTATCAGGACTGGTGAGCATGACACTGTGTGCTTAGCATGTGTATTTGGCTTGCTTGGGAATTGTTAATACATAGAGAATAAGAATATTATCGTATAAGGCCCTTCCAGTGGCAAAAGATCCTGCAAACCCACAGAAAGTTCCGCCCTGAGTCCTAGGAATTGGGTAAGGCTGGGTGTCCTTGCAGTGTGGAAGGGATAGAAAAATGTGTGCGGGTACCACCTCTGACCATTGGTCTGGT